TTGACCTGCTAAACTATTTGTAATAAATAAAGCCAAAAAAAAAACTTGAATGAAAACAAAACTGGCGAGAGTTAGGAAAGCTCACGGTGACATGTGGTGAAATAAAAACTTTGTTAGAAAAATAAACGTGCTGGTCAGAAGGTCGACGCCGGGACATTTAGAGGGAAACAAGTTGGAGAGCATTAGTTTGTGGGGAGACGCGGACACTCACCTCCGGGACGCAGCTTCGCTCCGCGTCACGCTCAAGTTTCTCCCTCCGTCACTTTATCCACTTTATCCGCAAACCTGCGCAAATCTCAGCGAGAAGCTCAGAGAGCAGCGTTATTATTCCTCGAGGTTCAGACAATTCTCACTGTCCACACTTGCACGTTTCCACTCAGGAATCCAACTTTCACTAGTTTCTACGCGCCGAGCCGCTCGGTTTAAAACAGAAAAGAAGACAAGAGAAGAGAAAAGCAGCGCAGTTCCTCCGTGCAGTAAAAAAGAAAAGTAGTTTGTGTCCTCTGCTTGGTTTCACTCTGCAGGTTTCTCCCCCACATGTAGCCGGTAGGTGCTGGTGGGATCGGTTTGGTGCAGCTCTCCAACAGGCGTAAAAAGGGGTTTGGCAAAAGGGGATAAATCGTGCTGCCTTCACGGGCAGCTCGTATTTCCTAAAACCAATCTGCAGCTGCTTTGAAATCCTACCTTATTCAGCCACTTGAGGGAGGAAATTAAAGGTAGCATTTAAGAACAANACGGCACAGAAGACAAACACTGATACAGATGAATTGTGTAAAGTTATGTTTTATTTTTTTAAATGGCACTAAGTGGTGATAAACCCCAAAAAACAAATGAGTTTCCATTCAAAAGTGCAGACAATCATGTGAGTGAGCTCAAGAACCAACCGGCACGACGCCTGGGCAGATCCTAATTTACCAAATGCTGCCGACAATCTGAAATAAATGAGCAATCATCCTCATCATCGCCGGGAGGGGATACTCCATCTCATTTCCTGGCTTATACTAAGCCATCAATTCTGTTATGAGGCAATAGGAACAGATGGCCACGGTTTAAGGAGACACTGCACTATGAAAGGAGACCACCACCCACGGGACACAACAACACAGAGGTCACACACTCTCACACGTCCACCCTCCGTCGGACTGCCGGCCACGACGCCCGCAACAAAGTGCTGATAAACACAATACGATATTAAACAAGCTGCTGTGTTGGTGGAGTAACGCACAGATCTGATCTCTGACTTTGGAGAGTTTCACTGAGAGAGAAACATTTACAGGATCTAAAAGTTTCAACGAAGACAAACAGTAATGACTCGATGCAGCTCCAGTACCATGAGCACACAGGAAACAGAACCATGAAGGTGTGTTATGTGAGCCTATATGAGGAATTTTATGCTTTTAAAACAGCTACTGAATGAGAATGTCCACAGGGCAGAAGAATGGCCACTGTTGTCCCCTCTGGGTTTCAACAGCAGCTTCATGAGGACCTGCCTCAGTGTAGGAACATGCTACCAACAACCCTGAAAGAGGTTCTCCAGTGTCGGTTCTTGAAGTCGGAACGTGCAGAGAAGTGGAAAAAAAAGGCTCATTGCTATGCACAGCGCAATCTCTCCTGATAATATCTGATTGAAATTACATGTTTGCAGCATTTTCACATTGAGGGAAATTAGATTAGAACGCTTTACTGACAAACATAATCATGCTTGATTGCGATGCGACGCTCAACACATTAGAAAGTCTTGTTGAATTTTAAACAAACATTAAATTAATTGACGTGTTCAATCCACAGACGATTTTTTCGGGGAAAAAGTTCCTTGGATGGAAAATCAATGAAAAAGACGACTAATTATGTTTTTGTTACGCATGGAAACGAAGAAACAGTCACTGAAAGAAAAGTCGAATTGGTCATGTGTTTACATTTTTGGTTGGGAGACGGCGTGAAATAATGAAACAAAAAGTAAAGATGTCCTGGAGTCAAACTGGCACCGTCTATAGAGAAACAACCCCAGGCTAAAGTAATATCGAAACTTCCTACAAGTGAAGCAGAACGATAAAATGTAAACTTTAAAA